CATTATAAGCATCAGAAGCAGTAAAACAAAGATTAGGAGATCCCCCAACCTCCTTCTTTAGAACCCTCAAAGAATCAGTAACTTTGACTCCACTCAATTTCATTGTTGAAATGAAAAGAAGCTGCTCTTTATTCACATCTCTTTGAGACCTTATCAAATGCCTTTTTTCAGGAGGAATCATAGCATGATTATGAACCATTTCATGTCTTGTACATGTATAGACCCCTAAATGATCAATATGAAACTGCACAAAAGCTAAACAACCAGTTCGATGATCCAACTTCTCATAAATCCTTTTATTCTTACACTTATTATCTTTGAATCCCTCATTACAACAAACAAATCTTTTCATCAAAAAAGAATCATCTCTTCTTCTCTTACTCTTCCCAATTCGAATTCCAAAACCTTTCCTAAAAGCATATTCATTATACGCTTCGAAAGCTTCATCTTCAGATTTAAATTCTTTATCCTTTAATTCAGACTGTTCTGCTTCTAAATACATAATATCATCATTTTTTTCCACTGCACAATATACAATTATAAATGATCATAAAGAGTTTCATGAATGAACAATAACAAATAAGTAAAATGTTCAATATCAAAACAGCACATGATCAATTGCAAAAAGAATTTCAGCACATAATATTTTGAACAATATTTTCATTATTTACCACTACACATAATATCGATATAAAAATGTAAAAATAAATGATCAAAAATGACTTTAAGACTGAACATAAACACATTAGTAACAATGAATAAGAAAACATAAACGATTAATTGAAAGTATAATCTACAAAATATACGACAAAAACACACAATTCTAAAACACAGAGAAAACAACAAATGAAACAACAAATGAAGCAACAAAATGTTCATACAAAGTACAACAATCCAAAAACGTTCATCATAATGTAATCAAAGTAGTAAATTCAAAAATCGAAAGTGAATAATAATACATCAATTAAGTTCAAATTAACAGAGCATTATAACAGAACAAATTAGGGATAATTAAAAATTGAAAAATTATGATCACAATTACTCACATTGTTGCACAAACGAATCAACGAAACGAAGTCCAGAAGGAAACACACGCTCGCAATCGCGATCAAAATCAACGCAATCTCCAGATGCAGAATTCGCCATTGATGATCGGTAACAATTAACGAATTCGTTCAAAAAATCAAATGAAGAAGATGAATTAGCGAGAGAAAAATGTAGATCAAAAATGGAGGTTGGTTGATCAATTGAAGAGAGAGAAAAAATAGGGTTTAAAATCATATATATACATAAATTGAATAATAAGAATCAAAGGAAAAAGGAAAAAAGAGGAAGAAAAGAAAAAAAGAAAAAAAGGAAAAAAAAAAAAAAAAAAAAAAAGGAAAGAATCGCAAAAGGAAAGAAGCTGCACATGAGAACTCAATACCAGCTACAAAACGACGTAGCATAGGGGGGGTGTAGGGAACACACCCTACACTAGGGTGTAGGGTAAAATTTTCAGTGAATATAAGGATGCTCAATTGTTGTAGAAAAATCTTAAAAGCCGATTTTGTGTAGTTAGTGGTACACGGATTTGCCAATTAAAATTGTCCTTGGGAGAATGCAAACAAGGCCAATCAGATTATGTGGCAACTTATTTTGGCCGAATCTCAAAAATATGGGATGAATTGAATACCCGTATTACTGTCCCTGTATGTAAGTGTGGGGAGTGTAAGTGCAACATCGTGGCACAGGTAAAGCCGTTGCGGTAGGAAGATTTCGTGCACCATTTTTTATCGGTTTGGAGGATGTCTATGCTTCGATAAAGGGACAACTCTTCGCTCCAGATCCCCTACCTACTATTGACAAGGCATATCAACAACTCTTTCAAGTGGAACGCTTGCGGGGAGGCTATGTAACCATGAATGGTACCTCCGTAGCTCGGGATAGTCCTATGGCCTTTAAACTTCAACATGATACTAACTTTAAACCGCAACGTTCGAGTGATGATGCTGACAAACTTTGTAATCATTGCAATCGTGTTGGCCATGACGAATCAGAGTGGTTCCAAATTCACGACTATCCGCCTTGGTGGGGGAATCGTGGTCGTGGGGGTCGAGGTTGGGGTCGTGGTGGAGTAGGTCGTACAGGGGGGCCGAGGTGCTGCTGTTGCCCCTGTACGTACAAACAAGACAAGGAGGTAGTCCGTCTCTTAGTCTATGCAAAGTGGAGCAGCCACCGCATCTGATGGTGCGGCTCTTTTGGGTGTGACTTCCGCACAGATTCAACAGATTATTGATCACTTAGCCACTATGAAACCCAAGATTCATGGTAAGGATCAATTGGGTTGGATTGTTGATACAGGTGCTTCCAACCATGTGACTTGTGATTTATCTCTCTTGACGAATGTTTCAAATGTTCAGCATTGTCCGGTGGGCTTGCCGGATGGGAAGAGTGCTAATGCATCCAAAATTGGCACTGTAATTTTGCAAGGGGGATTGAGAATTGATAATGTTTTTTTTGTTCCTCAATTAAATTGCAATTTAATCTCTGCGACACAATTATGTGATGAATCTAATTGCACCTTGCAATTTACTAACAAGCTTTGTGTTATACAGGACCTAACGACGAGGAAGGTGATTGGAGCGGGTGAACGAGTGGATGGACTTTATTATTTCCGAGGTGTTCCTGAGGTGAAGTCTTTGAAGCTAGATGGTCATCGATCGACATAGTTTTGGCATCAACGAATGGGGCATCCTTCGCAAAAAGTTCTGCATCATCTTCCCGTTGTAAGTAGTTCTAGTAGAAGTAGTAAAAATAAACCTTGTGATGTATGCCCTCGAGCAAAACAACATAGGAGTAGCTTTCCCAATAGCAATAATAGAGCAAGTTGTCTTTTTGAACTCATTCATGTTGATTCATGGGAACTCATTCATGTTGATTCATGGGGTCCTTACAAAGTTGAGTCAACTTGTGGTTCTCGTTATTTCTTGACTATAGTAGATGATTTTTCGAGAGGAGTGTGGACGTATTTATTGCGTAATAAAACAGAAGTTGAATTAATGTTTCTTAATTTTGTTGCTTTGGTGAAAAGACAATTTGGTTGTGAGATTAAAGTTGTTCGTAGTGACAATGGCATAGAATTCAATTCCTTGCGAAATTATTTTTTTGCTAATGGGATTTTATTTGAGACCTCTTGTGTTGGGATGCCTCAACAAAATGGGCGGGTTGAGCGTAAACATCAACATATTTTGAATGTGGCACATGCTTTGAGATTTCAAGCTCATTTGCCACTTAAGTTTGTGGGAGAGTGTGTGCAAGCAACTTGTCATTTGATCAACCGTACACCCTCTAGATTGATCAACTTTAAGACTCCGTTTGAGAAGTTATTCGGTAAACTACCTTCATATGATTATATTCGTGTTTTTGGGTGTTTATGCTATGCTCACAATCAACGAAGCAAGGGTGACAAGTTTGCTAGTAGGAGTAGAAAATGTGTGTTCTTAGGATACCTGTTTGGAAAAAAAGGATGAAGAGTGTTTGATTTGGAGACTAAGGAGAGTTTTGTATCTCGTGATGTGAAATTCTTTGAGTTCGAATTTCCTTTTGCCATGCCTCAAACTAATGAAGTTTGTCGACCTATATGTGTGGATCCTTCGAGTGAGGGAGTTAGTGATGATGAATGGCCTTTTTTGGAGAATAATGGTGGTGAGGCCTGTGGGTATGAGGGTGATGAAATCCCTCTCACAGCAGATACCACGGGCAGCTTGTGGCGCGAGGATAGCAGCCACATCCAGCCCGTGGCCAGCACTGCCAGCAACACAGAGCTGGCTGGTGCATCTCCATCGCACGCTGGTACAGCAGTAGAGGAGTTTAGCAGCCCCACTGCCCGAGGCGATGACTTTCTAGCGGCTAACAGTCAGCCTCACCATAGTACCAAGGACGTACAGGAGGTAGTGCCTCAGTCTTCGAGTGTTGGTGAGAGGATCGAACATGTAGATAATCTTGATAGTATGGGTAAAGGCAAGCGTCCCAAGTTTCCTTCGGTCAAGCTCCGAGATTATGTGACCCACACTATCAGAAATAAAAGTCCATTCACGCATCAAATTTCATCCGCGACATCTTCCTCAGGTACTGGTTATCCCATAACACATTTTGTTGATTCTCACCGGTTTTCAGTGAAACATAGAAAATACATTGCAGCAATTACAGGTGGAAATGAGCCTAAAAATTTTAAAGAAGCAATTCGGCATGAAGGTTGGAGAAAGGCGATGGCTGATGAGATTCAAGCACTCGAGGAACAAGGCACGTGGGTGCTAGAGACTTTACCACCTGGTAAAAAGGCGTTAGGGAGTAAATGGGTCTATAAAGAGAAGTATGACAAACATGGCAATTTGCAAAGGTTGAAAGCTAGACTTGTGATATTTGGCCATCATCAGGTTGAAGGTTTAGATTATAATGAGACATTTGATCCCGTGGCAAAGATGGTGACTGTTAGAACATTTCTTGCATTTGTAGCATGAAGAATTGGGAAGTCCATCAAATGGACGTCCATAATGCCTTTTTACATGGTGACTTGGAGGAAGAGGTATACATGAAAATTCCCCCTGGCTTTGATAAAATAATTCCGAAAAAGTATGCAGGATGAAGAAGTCATTGTATGGCTTGAAGCAAGCTCCTCGGTGTTGGTTTGCAAAATTGACAACGACTTTGAAGAATTATGGCTTTAAACAGTCATATTATGATTACTCTCTTTTTACTATGACAAGAGGGAAAATGCAACTTAATGTGCTAGTATACGTTGATGATTAATTGTTGTAGGGAATGATAAATCGGCATTGTTGTCATTCAAAACATATTTAGGGAACTTCTTCAAGATGAAAGACTTGGTTGTTTTGAAATATTTTTTGGGGCTAGAGATAGCCCGAAACAAGCAGGGAATTTTCATGAGTTAGAGAAAGTATGCCTTAGACATTATTACAGAAACAGGTTTGCTTGGCGCAAAACCTACAGATTTTCCCATGGAGCAGAACCACGGGCTAGCTCTGGCAGATGGGGATCTATTTGGTGATGTAGAGAGGTATAGACGTCTTATAGGACGTTTGATTTATTTAGTTGTCACTAGGCCGGACTTTGCCTATTATGTGCATATTTTGTCTCAATTTATGCAGAGTCCGAGGGTAGAGCACTGGGATGCGGCCCTACGAGTTGTGAGATATCTGAAGAAAAGTCCAGGTCAGGGGATCCTGCTAAGGTCTGATAGTTCTCTACAGTTGGAGGGATGGTGTGATTCGGATTGGGTGAGTTGTCCATTATCTTGGCGTTCGTTGACGGGTTGGTTTATGTTTCTTGGTCTATCTCCCGTGTCATGGAAGACCAAGAAACAACCCACAATAGCTATGAGTTTCGCCGAGGCAGAATACAAATCTATGTCTGCTTGTACTCGTGAGCTGAAATGATTAAAGCGAGTTCTAAGAGATTTAGGTGTGCGACATGACAGTGGCATGCACCTATATTTTGACAGTCAGTCGACATTGTACATTGCTAAAAACCCAGTGTTTCATGAGAGAACGAAACACATTGAAGCCGATTGTCATTTTGTGAGGGATGCTATTACAGATGGTCTCATCAACCCTTCGTATGTTCCTACCACAGTACAATTGGCTGACATTTTCACAAAGGCTTTAGGGAAAGTCAAATTTGAGTTTTTACTCCGCAAGTTGGGCATCTGTGATCCTTATGCTCCAACTTGAGGGGGTATTGGAAGTATTCTAGTTATCCTAGGATATTATTGTGATATATTTTAGGAAACATATCTTGTGTAAAGATATGATAGAATATTAGGGGTGTTACCCTAGTGATATATGTATATATACTGTTGTATTGAGCCGTGGAGTTGAATGAGAATTGAGGTGAATATTTCATAAATTGTCTCTAATTTAACAATTAACAATGTGACTTGATATTCTCTCTTACTGTTTAACACATTACAGAAAAAATCAATATGATAACGATGAATCAATATTACTAACTACTGGGCAAACTTTTCTGTCAGTAATTCTATAAACAACATTAGTATGATTTCATTCTCAAAGCTAATTTTCATAGAGTTGATAATGAATAGCATACTGAAAAGTTTAAAGCACCAAAAGTTTGAAGCTGTTTCACCAAAGTCACAAAAAGTAGTCATTCCACAACCAGCAGTTCAATCAACTAGGCATCATTAGTAATAGCAACACCGCTCTGTCTCTACATAAAAGTCTCAATTCATCTACCAAACTCGAATTTCTTATATATATATATATATATATATATATATATATATATATATATATATATCCTCATCATCTTCATCTTTCTAAAAACGTGTGCAAAAGGCAAATGAAACTATTATATGGTGATAGAGTGAGTACAAAATAAGCTATGAAATTAGGGAGAAATATAATATTGCACAAACTATCGGCAGCAAAGATTATTCTTAGAAGTGTACATTTCAATAATCTGCTATTGACTCACGGTATGGCAGCAATGCTGTAATTCACTTTTAGTTGTAAAAGGAGAATACAGAAATATCCGTTTGCAAAAGCAAACAAGTAGTAATCAAAATAAAAGCATGTCAAAACATTGTTAATACTTATGAGATTTATTTAGACATTACCTGGATTCATTTATCAGTAGATGAAATTCCAAAATAATAAATAACAGCAAAATGATGTTATAGTATATCATCAACCTGAAGTAATCATAGAGCAACTCTCCTTTGGCAAGTGAATGGCAATCAAACATGCATAATGAAAGGAATAGTGTCCTTCGAACAAGTGTATTATTCTGATAGCGGGTTCAGAATTATTAGAAAGCTAATATATTCAGTATGGTCAAGTGATCGGAATGCCTGGGTGGAGGCCGCTTCCGATCAGTAATATTAATATAATTAATATTACAGCTTAATCTTGACTGACCCCTTCGGGTCACACCCAAGCAAAAATATATGCGAACCAACTCGACGAATTACTTCGAAAGAAATTAATTCGTCGCCCGAGTGTTAAATAATTAGACGTCGGTAATTCGAGCTTAGAGCGTCGAAACCGATCGTTGGAAGTCGAGTCTAAATAATAAAAGACGAGACACGCAAAATAATAATAAATCAACAATATTCCCGAAAATACCCTAGCATCGGAGTGCCCCGAGCATCCGAATGCTAGGGGCAAGACGAGCCGGCGCACCGTGCTGCAGCCACGGCCAGCCGCGGCTAGGCACAGCAGCAGCCGCGCCGCACTACGGCAGCAGCCGCAACCGCACCATGCCATAGCAGCAGCCGTGCCACAGCAGCAGCTGGTGCGGGCTGGGTCGGTGCGGGCCGGGCCGGGCTCGGGCCGGGCTCGGGCTTGGCTCGTGGCTTGGCTCGGGCCATAGGGCCGTGTATAAGGGGAAGGTTGGGAGCAAGTGGGTTGCCATGTGGCACAAGGTGAGGGAGAGAGTGGGGAGCAAGTTTGGTCCCCATCTCCAAGTGGTCCTCACCTACTCTCTCATGTATGCTTGACACTTGTTGATTTATTACTAGTTTGCTTAATAATTTTATTTTAGCTTTAAAATAAAATGAGAAAATCTCATTGTCCCACATTGATGGGAGAGATTTTCATACTCCATCATTCCCTATAAATACCCAACTTTGGGCATAGGAAATGATGCTTGAGTGGGAGTTAAAAAGAGCATTCCATAATATTGGGAAAACTCTTAAACTCATATAACACTCGGGTTTTGGTCAGACCTCGCTAACCCCCAGGTAGTAGACCTTAAAGTTGTGTTCGCCTTTTTGTGGGTGGATACCGTTGGAGGCGCGGCGCTTGACGTGCTCGTAGCTTTCAAGTAAGAGCCCCGGCTTTTGGGCGAAGCTCGCTTCGAGGGTAAGATTCGTTATCTTTTCTTAGTGATTATTTATTTATGCTTTATGATTTTAATTATTGCGAGTGGTTCCTTGGGTCGGGGTTTGTTTCCGCGGTGAGTCGGACTCACCAAACCCCAACAGCGGTATAGGAGCCCCGCTCGTTTATTTTTATAATCATGTTTTTCAAGGTTTATTTTGGCTTAATTTTCTGGTTTAAGTTGCTAATTAGATTAGTAGCTCGGTTTTATTTATTTTAATCCCGTTTTTAATGTCGATTTTGGCCCAGAACCCAGATTTTCGCCCAAGACTAGTGAATTTTGGGTGGAAAACGTGTTCTGGAAAGGTTTTTTTCCCCAAAGGGATCTGTGATTTTAGCCAAATTCTGACCAGAAATGCCTTTTTCGAGGGGTTTTTTTGTTTTTGACGAAAAATTTTAAGTCTTTTCTAACCTTGAAATTAATGGCATAAATTGTTGATTATATGGTTGATTATTTGCATTATTTTCTGCAATTTTATGTCCCCTTAAAGCACACTTACTTGGTAGTATTTGATGCTTAAAGGTTGATTTATTTTCACATAATTGCAAACTAATTGCTTTTTAGTGTGAAAGTTTTAATTTTGAGGCTTCCATAAGTGTTAAAGATTCAATCTTTATTTGTGATAAGTGATTAAAACTTTAAAAACCACTAAATTCCATGTTATTTTTGTTAAACTTTGATGTTTTAATCATTTTGAGTTGATTGGAAACATAAAGTTTCGATTTTTGTGATAAAAATTTGGTTATCTTCATGTTGGAAGATATAATTTTCAAGGATTCACAAAATTTAGATGTTGGAATTTTCATTTGAACATTAAAGTTCATATTTTTCCAACTTCCCTTTACTTTGTCAAATTCTCAAGTTTAATTTAAATTGATTAAATTGAAAGTGAGAAATTGCCTCAATTTTATGTTGCACCAAGCTAAACCAATTTAATTAAGAATGGTTCTTGGAATTATTTTGGTTATTTGCACTTTGAAAATTTTATTAAGTTAGACTTGTTTAAAATTTTATTTTGCTCTCTAAATTAGTTCTAAAATTAATTTAGAATTAATTATTGTTGTCTCGCGAAAAGGGATCAAATCCCGAGGTCGTGGCACGCAAAACGAGGCATTGCATCACCTTGGCGAGCCGGGCTGCATAGCAACCCATATGTGGCTGCCAAGGTGGCATCACCGCCTTACTTGCGGCCACACGCGCAGCAGCAGCCACGCAAGGCAGCAACACACGCGCGGCAGCAGGTGCGGGCTGCAGCAGCTCGCGGCCGTGTGCCGTGGGCCGTGTGTTCGTGGTCTTGGCGTGTGTGTATGCTTGGTGCGGTGAGGTGGCTAGCCATAGTAGGCTTGATGTTGCTTATTTTGCCGTTTTACTTATTTTAATTAACTTTGTTTATTTTAATTAAAATTTTGGGAGGCTAGGCCTCGGTTTTGAGCGGCATTGGAAAAATTTAATTTTGACAAGTTTGGGTGCTACCGACTTAATTAATTGGATTAATTAAGGAAATGCGGAATTTAGTGGGAGCTTCAATTATTAATGACGTACTTTATATAATCGGTTAAACAACTTTGACTAGTTTTAATTAGGCGTGTTAATCGGATTAACCACCTAGATTAGTTACTAGTGCGCGCGTTGTTCAAATGCATTTTACTTTGTTTTAATTTGTAAATTGCATGGGCCATTCACAAATAGTGAATGGATGAATGGAATATATGTATATATTCTCTCTCACAGGTTTTATGAAATGGCAACTAGTGGGACCCGACTAGGATAGAAAATACGGACTACGTGCCGTTATGTATTTTTTGTAAATCTAAATACGGTCTACGCACCGTTAAGTATTTTTGTACTTTAATATTTAGATTATTCCTAGTTGTAGACACTAGTTTTTGCATAGTTTGATTAAGTCTTGAAGACGGCGTATCTTGGAAGACAAAGCCTCGAATTGCAAATGAAGACCTTTTGAAGATATGAAGATCTCAAGGGGTCATGCTAGTTGCCAATATGCATCTATAATTTCGCTTTATATTTTATGCTTATATATATGTGTGAATTATTTGTTAGATGCATGTTTAGGTTTTCTTGATGTTGCGATGATTAGTTAAGTTCACTTAAATCAACCAACATAGAAATCGTAAGTCCCTAATAATATTGAGTCAAACTTGCCTTTCCAAACAACACTTATTAACCGAACGAGAGTGATGGTAGGCTACGCCAAAGCGAGGTGCCATCACTTCTCCAAGGGGCATAAGGCACACCGGGTGTGCACGTTGGTTTTGGTTTTGGTTTAACTCATCGGTATGGGTGAGGAGTCCTCACATACCGTGGCAAAAGAGATACATCGTCGAAGATGCATTAGATGCGACGATTATCTAACCAAGAGTGGCTTAGAGCCATTAGCAAGGCAATGCTTACCCAAGAAGATTGAGTGTTTAAGACAAGCCAAAGCATGCTTAACCAGTCTTTGTTTCTTCGGATCTTGGAATCGCCTTATTTTCGCCAAATAGGGACAATTATTATGCGTAAATAAGACATTTAATAAGATTGAAGTTTGCATGAATGCTATTAAATTTCAAACTTATTATGTTCTTGATAAATGGTTATACTTAGAACTTATATTTATAGTATTCTAAATCAAATAATATTGTTTCCATGATTGGTAAAGGAAATCCTTGAGAATAGTTCTCAAAGAAAGGAAAAGCATTTCTAAAATACAATTCTCATGAATGACTTTTATAATTAAGTCCGAAAGGACGGTTAGACATCATCATGAATGCCTTCGATAGATTCTTATCTGATACACATTTTGCTGGAGCCTGAGGTGTTGTACTGG